TGACTTAAAAACTAATATAATTATATATTATATGTAATATGTATAATTAATATAAATATATAATAATTTCTGTCATGTAGTTCTTATAAATTTGAAAAGACTAATATTTAAATATATTCTGTAAAATATTGGGAACTTTAAAAATTTTAACATTGCTAGACTCTGAAGGCCTTCTTGAACTCATATGAAACAGTGTGGCTTTTATTTTTCTAAAAGCAAAATGAAATCAAAATCTGTCTTACCTCTAAGTAAAGGGCCTAGCTAAAGTTTCATTCAAAGGAAATTTGTATTTTTGCAATGTCTTCTTAAATATTACTGCCTCTATTTTTATCAGTATTGGCATTAACTAAATAGAACAGTTAGTGCAGTCATAGATAGCAAGGAATCTGAAGTCGGAGAGATCTCAGTACAAGTTCTAAGTCCACCACTTACTGGCTTTAGGAAAGACATACCCTTCCTAAGCCTAGAATTCCATACCTATAAATTGAGAATCTCTGGTAGGATTATTTTGAGTACTAAATAATGTATGTAAAGCAGTTAGCACAGAGCTTAAATATGCAATAAATGGTACCCTTTTAGAAAAAATTAACATAGCTCTGTAGTTTTCTAATTATAAAAAAACATTAGTAGAAAGTTTTCACCTGAACTGTCACCGTCCAGAGGTAACCACTGAGGGGCGCTTGGGTGACTCAGTGGGTTAAGCATCTGACTCTAGGTTTTAGCTCAAGTCGGGATCTCATGGGTTGTGGGATCCAGCAGTGTTGGGCTCTGTGCTCAGCGGGGAGTCTACTTGAAGATTCTCTCCCTCTGCCCCTCCCCCCACACGTGTGAACTGAGATCAGTTATTTTACCCAGAGGGAACAGCATAGGTTTGTGTTTAGGTTTATATTTATTTTCCAGGAAAAGACCCATCTGCTTCTGTGATTTTTTTTTTTTACTAAAACTTGTATGATTTCTAAAATCTGATGTTTCTGAAGATTACACTTAGTTGACCTAACTTATCAAATAGCCAAGCTGACAAATGATAAATGAAAAACTACCTATCCTATACTTAAAAGTTGATAGGAAAGTCCTTTTATAGCATTTCTCTTCAGTTTGTAATTTGTTTGAATTATTTTTGTGCCACTATTATTCTGAGAATTGAGATATTAGTCTCTTTTAAAAATAATCAAGTTCAATAAGTGAACTTTGTCAGAGCTAGGCTATAGTGCTTTTTGATACATAGTTTTTAAATTCTCATATCTGCTTCAGGCAGATAACAATGTGCTTTAAATTTTTGTGCTTAATAGCTCTTATATGTTATTTTTCTCTGATGTTTCAAATACATTTTTAAGAGGTAAAGGAAAAATGTTAAAAGAGTGAACTAAAAGGGCACCTGGGTGGCTCAGTCGTTAAGCGTCTGCCTTCGGCTCAGGTCATGATCCCAGGGTCCTGGGATCGAGCTCCGCATCGGGGTCCCTGCTCTGCGGGAAGCCTGCTTCTCTCTCTCCCACTCCCCCTGCTTGTGTTCCTGCTCTCACTATCTCTCTGTCAAATAAATAAATAAAATCTTAAAAAAAAAAGCGAACTAAAGATTAAATTAGCTAACATTTCAAAAAGAAGCAGTCACTAGCAGTTCCTTTGGTAGAATCAACCACTGCTAACACCACCGTCAGATCTACACTAGATCCTGATTTGTATCAATCTTGGATGGTAGAGGTTGCATTAGAATGTTTCTCTGTGTATTGTTTAACACATGGGCTTTGTTGCCTTTTACGAAATTCTCATTAGTCTAAACCTGAGTTATAGGTAGCTTCCACATGTCTTCCCATGGCTTGATTTTAGAATTCATGAAAAAAAATTAACTTGAATTTGAATCACAAAATCATATCTCCCAATCAGTGGCCTTTGTTGTCTGTCCTGATCGTTAGACGCTTCTGTCTGAGGAATAGTAAACCCAAAAGGAAAAGGCCCTATCTTTACTTCCCCAGCTCTTACTTAAGCACAGGAAATACTAAGTAAAAAGGTAGAGATTATGTGTGAGCAAGTAGGGCTGTGGCCTATCTGCAGCCAGTACACATTTAAACCCACTTACCTATTCCTAAAATGTTGCTCAGTAATAAAAATCAAATTTCTCCATCAGCTGTCTCCTTTCTCATCTATTCTGTTCCCTGTAAGTTCATTCTGTGTTTGAGATCTGCCTTGATGTTTCAACATACCTTCAGTCTTGTTTCTGATTCATTCTTTGGGCTAGCAAGAACCTAGGAATTATGTGGAATTTTTTGTTAATAATAACAAGATTTTGTTTCAAGTAATTTTCAACTGGGTCTTTAGCATTAACAATTACCACTTATTGGGTACTTAATTATATAGGTACTATAAGAGAATGTTTAAAATAATGAGCTCATTTTATCTTAATAACCCCTATGAGACAGGCATTTTCACCAATTTTCAGATGTAACTAAGACTCAGATTAATAATATGCCCCAGATCATAAAGATAATAAAGGACATAGAGAGGATTAAAACTGAGTCTGTCTGACTTAAAAACCTGTGCCTGGGCTCTTCAGAATATACGTTTCTGGCATTCCATTTATATATTAGATTCCTCTGATTAATGTAGATTGCATTTGCAATCTTTATCCAGGGTTTAACATTTTAAACCCTAACTTCTGAGAATGGATTAAAATTTAAATGCCTAGATCCTTTTACAAAGCAAAATATAATAATAAAGACGGTTCTCAGATTCCTAATAGCCCAAAGAATGAATCAGAATAATAAAATGTAATGGTGAAATTGGTTAGATTTTGACTTTGATTATTTTGCTCTATTTCAATGCATTTATCATCATATAATCTAGCTTTAGCTGAAATGTCTGTGTAGAGTAAAAGTTTTTTTTTTAAGATTTTATTTATTTATTTGAGAGAGAGAATGAGAGACAGAGAGCATGAGAGGGAGAAGGGTCAGAGGGAGAAGCAGACTCCCCACTGAGCAGGGAACCTCATGTGGGACTCCATCCTAGGACTCCAGGATCATGACCTGAGCCGAAGGCAGTCGCTTAACCAACTGAGCCACCCAGGCACCCTGAGTAAAAGTTTTTGAACCTTGCCTATAATCCCCCCAACAGAAATAATAAGTTTTTAATCCAGTCAAATTCTACTTTACCAATTTTGAGCTATGTGGCCTTGCAAAAGTTAGTTTTCTAAAATCTTTCCACTGTAAAATTTTGCTTCTTTTTTTGTATTGAAATCTTCTTGGGATAATTCATATTTAAGAAATTGTTTGCTTTCCCAATTATTAGATTTTTGTCAGGGGTTCTTAAGAGTTTAGAGAAAATTAAAATAGTTTAGTGGTTAAGAGCTCTGATTCTGAAATCAGACTTGTATGATCAAATTTGTAACATTTAATATCTGGTAGACACTAGAAATTTTACCTAACCTCTCTGAGCCTTAGTTTCCTTTTCTTTTTTTTTTTTTAAGATTTTATTTATTTATTTGAGAGAGAGAGAATGAGAGACAGAGAGCACAAGAGGGAAGAGGGTCAGAGGGAGAAGCAGACTCCCCGCTGAGCAGGGAGCCCGATGTGGGACTCGATCCCAGGACTCCAGGATCATGACCTGGGCCGAAGGCAGTCGCTTAACCAACTGAGCCACCCAGGCGCCCCTCAGTTTCCTTTTCTATAAGATGGCTGTATGACTTATCTCATAAGGTTGTTCTAAAAGTTATGTGAGGGGTGCCTGGGTGGCTCAGCTGGATAAGCGTCTGCCTTTGGCTCAGGTCATGATCTCGGGTCCTGGGATCGAGCCCTGCATCAGGTTCCCTGCTCAGCGGGGAGTCTGCTTCTCCCTCTTCATCTGCTCCTCCCCCTGTTTATGCTATCTCTCTCTGTGTCTCAAATAAATAAATAAAATCTTTAAGGGGCGCCTGGGTGGCTCAGTCATTAACCGTCTGCCTTCGGCTCAGGTCATGATCCCAGGGTCCTGGGATCGAGCCCCGTATCGGGTTCCCTGCTCTGCAGGAAGCCTGCTTCTCCCTCTCCCACTCCCCCTGCTTGTGTTCCCTCTCTCGCTGTGTCTCTCTCTGTTAAATAAATAAATAAAATTTAAAAAAAATAAATAAAATCTTAAATAAATAAAAGTTATGTGAAAAAAAAGGCGGGGACGCCTGAGTGGCTCAGTTGGTTGGGTGTCTGCCTTCAGCTCAGGTCATGATCCCAGGGTTCTGGGATCCAGTCCCACATCGGGCTCCCTACTCAGTGGGGTGTCTGCTTCTCCCTCTCCCTCTGCCTCTCCCCCTATTCATGCTTGCTCTCTTTCAAATAAATAAAATCTTTTTTGAAAAATAAACAGCTATATGAAGCACTTTTCACACTGCTTTGTATAGTAGGGGTTAACTATTAATATTGGTAATTTAGATTTTGCAGTTTGTTCTTTGTGAAACAGAATAATAGTATTTTAGGGCTAGAAGAAACCTTTACTGATCATTTAATCAAGCACCCCTCTCTTTCGTATGATATTAAAGTCCAGAGGAGGAAGGGCAAAACCTAGTTTGAGGGTTTTTGGTGGATTGGTGATGTACCTGAAACTAAATTAAACCCAGTATCTTTGTGGACAGAGAGGTTGTGTTTTGTTCTCTTCACTTCTATCCATTGATTCTTTTTTTAAATCCCATTGAAACGATTGAGTTGTTTCCATTTTACCTACGTAGCTATTTTAGTGTCATAGTAGGTTGGCATGAATACTTTTTTTTTTCTTTGTTTAGCTAGATTTTTTCACACCCAAAATGGATCAGTCCATTAGAGATGAAGCTCTACTATTAAGGATGTAAAATGAAAAAAACCTGTGGTCATTTATGGTTTCACACCGTCCTGCTAGTGTTCTGACATGAGACATTGCTTCCCACAGTAGTGGAGCATGGCTTGTTTTGAGTGCTGATTAAGTGAAGGCTCTCTGGTCCACCTACAAACAGTAGTGATTTCCGTAGGCATAATAATGTTTGGTTTCTGTTCTCTCTTATGTTGTAGAGCCGACAATTAGAATCAGAAACTGGGACCACAGAGGAGCACAGTCTAAACAAGGAGGCTCGAAAATGGGCCACCCGTGTGGCACGTGAGCACAAAAACATTGTTCACCAACAAAGGGTAAGTGTAATAGAGAGAGTCTTAGGCTACATTTAGCTTAAGCAAAATGTCAAACCTGTTTAAGGAGTTGAGTTTTGTTAATGTGAAAAATACCCTTTTTATGTTTTTTCTGTAATTTCATCCACTCAGCAGTATGCTCTCAGCTATCTACTTAGCTTGGAAGTTCCTTAAGCCCTTCAAGCAGCAACACAGTAATTTATCTGTTTGCCATAACATTTCCTGAATGGCTAGTGATAGTGTATTACCGTCTCTCAGGTAGTAGAAGAGACATGCCTGTGTTGAATTAAGCTTTTAATGCCCTAGACAAATTTTTTTGAAGACTGGCTGGCTCAGTCGGTAGAGCATACGACCCTTGATCTCAGGGTCGTGAGTTCAAGACCCATGTTGAGCATAGAGTTTACTTAACAAAAAAAACTAAATTAAATTAAATAAAAATTTAAAAACTAAAATTGAGCACCAAAAAAATATATCTTCAAGACTAAACGCTAAGCACAAAGAAATTAGGTATAGTAAATTTTTTCTAATTTCCATTTATTTATAACTTTTTCTTACCCTTCACATCCAACTTATTAAAAGAATTGTTCATATTTAATGTCTATATTTCCTATTCTCACATTTATTTTTTAGCCCATAATATTTGGACTTTTCCTGCTTTTCCTTCCCTCATACTTCATACAGACTATACTTGCCAAAATCACCAGTGATGTCTATATTGCTAAATCCAAAATGGACACTTTTATTTCTCAAAACCTGTTGGCAGTTTCATCATAATTGACAAATCCCTTTGTGTTAAAACATTCTCTTCTCTAGTTATCCATGACTCAACACTGTCCTTCTGCCTCTCTGGCCATTCCTATATTCTTTGATAGGTTCTTCTTTCTTCACCTCATATATAAGTATTTAAACTCCTTAGAGTTCTGTACTAGGCTATCTTTTCTTATTCTTTATTCTCATTATAGGCACTCTCAACCAGTGCCATGGTTTCACTTACCAAAAATCATAAATTAATATCTCCAACACTGGGCCTTTCTTCTGTGTGTACATATATCATCCTCTTGCCTGCCTTGACTTCTTTTTACTGTCTCACAGGGATCCTGAGTTCAATGTTCCACTAATCTAATGCTGCAAAACAAAACACCTCAAACTTAATGCCACAAAGAAGAGCATTTTTAATTGTCTCTTAGCACTCTGGAGATTGGATGGACTTAGCTTGCCACTTCTCTCTTGGGAATCTCCCATGTGGTTACAGTCAGATAGTGACTGGTACTAGAGTCACCTCACAGACTTCCCCACTGAAATAACTGGTTCTTGGAACAGGAAGACTTGAACAGCTGGGAACTAGAACAGCTAGAGCTCCTCATGCATCTCAGTCTCTCTGTGGTCTCCCCATATGGTCTCTCCAGCACAGTGGCTTCAGCTTAGCTGTACCTCTTACATGGTGGCACAGGGTCCCAAAGGTGTGAGTCCCAAGAATGAGCCAAGTAGGAGGTATGTTATCTTTTCTGGCCTAGCCTCAGAAATAATATATTACTTATGTCATATTTTTGTTAACTGAGGCAGTCACAAAGGCCCATTGTCCAGGTTCAGGGGGAGAGAACATAAACTCTACTTCTTGGTAGGGAAATAGCAAGGTTCTAGAAGAACATGTGGAGTGGGAAATATTGTAGTAACTTTTTTCAAAAACACAGTCTTCCACAGTCTGCCTTCTGGTTATAACAGTTTACATCCTCTTGCATGCAAAATAAAACTCCCCTCTTTACCCCAAATCCCCCAAAGCCTGGTGTCAGACTCCAGTAGGTTACGTAAATGAGAGTCACAGACAGATGAGGCTTCTTGAGTGCAATTCCTCTAAGAGTTTATCTCAAAGAATTTGTGAACTAGAGAGACAAGTTATCTGTCTACCATATATCCAGTAAATAGTGATTAATTACTGCAGCTTTATACTTCTAAAATATAAAACACGTGAGACTTTGTTTTATTAAAATGCTTTATGATATTTGAAAGTAATGTTCAGATATTAAAAATAAGTCTGCTTCCTCTGTTGTCAAGGCATACTGTGTCTTTCTGCTAGGAGACAGATACAGGCAGATTTCAACAACTTCTCCATTTCTTAATAGCATGACCTATGTTCGGCTTTAATCTAGTAAGGTATAATTTAAGCAGTAAAAATAAGGGTTTTTTTTAATACTAAAACCAGTTCTGCTTTTGGCCATGATAAATTACCATGAGATCACACTTAAAAAACAATGAAATTAGTAGCCATATGACCTCTCAGGTTTTCTGCCTAAAGGCACTTTTTATATTGCAGTGCAGGGAGGGAGAACTTAAGCAGGGCACCACAGACTCACTGAGTTGAGATGACAGAGATTAGAGTTCAGAGTGGCTGAAATGGCATGAATTTCAGGGCAAAGTACCAGACAATATGGAGACGCAGAGAAAGAATTCCAAAACTCGACATAGATACCCCCTTCATTCTGGTGCCGAATACTAAACCACACATGCATATGATGAAATTCCACAATACGGGGTAGAAAATGACAGAGGAGATAAGCTGAAGGATTCCCAGAGGTCACATAGGTCCAGAACACATTCAAGTTGTGATTAGCAAAGGTTGAGACTACTCATGGATCACCTGGGGCATTCAGGAGATTACAGAAGGATCATACAATGGTTCCAGGGCTAACTTGTCTTGGAATAGGGCTACTTTAGAACAAACCTAACAGAGCTTTAAAACAGGCTTCAAAAAGATCAAACTAATCCACAAGTAACTTATTTGCCTGCCAGGGGGAAAAAAAATCTACTCTTCGCCTGGGTGCCTCAGTCGTTAAGCGTCTGCCTTCGGCTCAGGTCATGATCCCAGGGTCCTGGGATCGAGCCCCGCATCTGGCTCCCTGCTCCACAGGAGGCCTGCTTCTCCCTCTCCCACTTCCCCTGCTTGTGTTCCCTCTCTTGCTGTCTCGCTCTCTGTCAAATAAATAAATAAAATCTTAAAAAAAAAAAAAACTACTCTTCAAAGGAAGGAAACAAAATCCAGTATTCAGTAACATAGTATTCATGGTGCACCTAGGTGATTCAGTCAGTTAAGCATCCCACTCTTTTTTTTTAAGATTTTATTTATCAGAGAGCACAAGCCCAACCGCACAAGCAGGGGGAGCACCAGGCAGAGGGAGAAGCAGGCTCCCCACTGAGTAAGGAGCCTGATGCAGGGCTCGATCCCAGGACCCTGGTGCTTAACTGACTGAGCCACCCAGGTGTCTCTAAGTGTCCCACTCTTTATTTTGGCTCAGGTCATGATCTCAGGGTTGTGAGATCAAGACCCGCATCAGGCTATGTGCTGGGCGTGGAGCCTACTTAAGATTCTCTTTTTTCTCTCTCCCTGTCCCTTGGCGCCCCCCCCAAAAAGGCATTAAAAAAAAAACAACAACATAGTATTCACAATGTCAAGAATCAAGTTTGCTAAATATTAAAAGAAGCAAGAGAGTATAACCCATGATCAAAGGAAAAATCAATTAAAGCAGACCCATAAATGTCAAAGATGATGGAATTAGCAAATAAGGACTTCAGAACAGTAAATGAGTTCAAGGATTTAAAAGAAAACAAACATGAACATATTGAAGAAAGAAAAGGAAAATACACAAAAGAACCAAATGGAACTTTGAGAGCTGAAAATACAATATTTGAAATGAAAAATTCAATAAATTGGGTGACACCAAAAGAAGAACAATGAGCTTAAAAGTATATATAGCAATAGAAACTGTCCAAACTATCGAGTCCCATATCGGGCTCCTTGCTCAGTGGAGAGTCTGCTTCTCCCTCTCCCTCTGCCTGCCACTCCCCCTGCTTCTGCTCTCTCTCTCTGTCAAATAAAATAAAATAAAAAGAAAGAAACTGTCCAAACTGAAACACAGAAATAAAAGACTTTTTAAAAGTGAACAGAGCATCATCAATCTGTGTGGGAGAATATGTGCTCTAACATTTTGGGAGTTAGAAAGAGACTTATTTGGAGACAGAGAGAAGAGTCAATTTCATAATCAATTTGTTAAAAAGCAGTGATACTCAATGATATGAGACTCAAAATATTTTCTCTAGGATCAGGAACAAGGCAAGGATGCCCCCTTTTGCCACTTCTATTCGTTATAATACTAGAAGTTCTAGCCACAGCAGTTAGGCAAGAAAAAGAACTAAAAGGCATCCAAATTGAAAACAAACAAGTGAAATTATCTCTGTTCACAAATAAAATGATCTTACACACACACCCCTATTAGAGCTAGTAAGCAAATTCAGCACAGTTGCAGAATACAAAATTAACACACAAAAATTGCATTTTTTAAAGATTTTTATTTATATGGGAGAGAGAGATAGCAACAGAGATAGCTGGAGAGGGCACAGGAGGAGAGGGAGGAGCAGGCTCCCCGCGGAGCAGGGAGCCCAATGTGAGGCTCAATCCCAGGACCCTGGGATCATGACCCGAGCCAAAGGCAGACGCTTAACCGACTGAGCCACCCAGGCATCCCCTAATCAGTTGCATTTTATACACTAACAATGTACAATCCCAAAAGGAAATTAAGAAAACAGTTCCATTTACAATACCATCAAAAAGAATAAAATACTTAGGAATAAACATAACCAAGGAGGCAAATTACTTGTACACTAAAAGCTATAAGACACTGATGAAAGGAATTAAATAAGATATAAATAAATGGAAAGACCTCCTGTGTTTATGGAATGGAAGATAATATTAAGATAACAGTACCACCCAAAATGATCTACAAATTCAGTGCAATCCCTATCAAAATCCCAACAGTATTTTTTTTTGCAGAAATAGAAAAACCCCTCCTAAAATTCATACGGAATCTCAAGGAACCCTGGCTAGCCAAAACAGTCTTGAAAAAGAAGAAAGTTGAAGGACTCATACTTCCTGACTTTAAAACTTATTACAAAGCTACAGTATTCAAAACATTGTAGTATTGTCATGACAGACATACAGACCAATGGAATAGAAGTTTCAATATTTTAATTTTATTTCTATTTTTTTAATATGGAGAACTGAAGAGTTTTTTAAAGTTTTAATTCCAGTATAATTAACATACAGTGTTATATTAGTTTCAGGTGTACAATGTAGTGATTAAGCAGTTCTGTACATTACTTAGTGCTGCTTAGCATAAGTGTGCTCTTAGTCCCCATCACCTGTTTCACCCATCTTCCCACCTGCCTCCCCTCTGGTAACCATCAGTTCTCTATATTTAAGAGTTTGTTTTTTGGTTTATCTATTTTTTTCTTAGTTCATTTGTAAAGGTAGCAGTATTTTAAAAATACCTGTTATCTCCAAACTAACCCATTTATTCAGTGCAATCCAAGTCAAACATCCAGCAGGAGTTTTTAGAGAAAGTGACAAAATGCTTCTAAAACATACATGGAAATGCAAATGATCTAGAATAACTAAAGCAATTTTGAAAAATAAGAATGAAATTGGAGGGCTGGGGTGCCTGGATGGCTCAGTCAGTTAAGCAAGCGTTGGGCTCTGCACTGAGCATGGACCCTACTTGGGATTCTCTCTCTCCTTCTCCCTTTGTGCACCACCTCCTTCCCCTCCCCCGATGGGCATGTGCTCACATGCTCTGTCTCAAAATAATAAATAAGTAAATCTTAAAAAAAAAAAAATTCGACGGCTGGGGTGCCTGGGTAGCTCAGTCAGTTAAGCATCTGCCTTCAGCTCAGGTCATGATCCCAGGGTCCTGGCTCCCTGCTCAGAAAGGAGTCTGCTTATCTCTCTCCCTCTGCCCCTCCCCCTCAGCTTGTGCTGTCTCTCTCTCTCAAATAAATAAATAAAACCTTTAAAAAAATGGAGGGTTTACTCTACCTCATTTCAAGACATAAAACTACAGAAATCAAGATGTAGTATTGGTGTAAGAATGGACTTACAGATGAATGGAACAAAAAAGAGACTCTAGAAATAGGCACACACATATATAGTCCATTGATTTTTAACAAAGATATGAGAAACTTATAAAAATGCTAAATAAATTTTAATAAAAATGAATCCAGTTATATATTAAGCACATGACTAATTAAGAGTGCCAGGATGATTCAACACTAGAAAATTTCTTAGTATAATAAACTGCATTTTCCAAATAAAGATGAAAAATTCTATGATTTTTTTATAGTTACCAAATAATCATATGATAAAATTCATTATCTCTTAGTGATTAAAAAATAAAATGGGCGCCTGGGTGGCTCAGTCGGTTAAGCGACTGGTCGGGTCATGATCCTGGGGTCCTGGGATCGAGCTGCCCCACGTCCGGCTCCCTGCTCAGCAGAGAGCCTCCTTCTCCCTCTCTGCCTGCCACTCTGCCTACTTGTGCTCTCTCTCTATCTCTCTGTCAAATAAATAAATAAAATCTTAAAAAAAATAAAAAATAAAACGAAAGTCACAGCCAGCAAGATAAAGAATTTTTCATCCTAACAAGGATAGCTTCCTGAAACTTACAGCAAAACATTATGTTTGATGGTTGTGTTTTCTGTATCTGCCATAACAAATTACCACGAACTGAGTAGCTTAAAACAATACAAATTTTTTTATCTCACAGTTCTGTAGGTCAGACATCTGGATGGGCTTAGCTGATTTTACTGCTCAGGCTTTAACAAGGCCAAAATCAAGTTGTTTTAGTTAGCTAGCTAGGCTGGCCTCTGGGGTAGAACCCACTTCCAAGTTCATTTAGGTTGTTGTCAGAATCTAGTTCCTAATAACTGTAGAACCTAGGTCCCTGCTTCTTTCCTGTCAGCTGGGGGTACCCTTAGCTCCTAGAGGCTACTCTCTCTGATCCTTGCACATGGGCTTCTACATCTCGGAGCCAGCAATGATGCATTGAATCCTTTCTGTGCTTGGAATCTCCCTGACTTCCTTTTTGGCCTGTCTCTCATCTGATTCCAGCCAGAGGAAGTTCTCTGCTTATAAGGGGTCATAATGATTATATTGAGCTGCTTCAGTAATCCAGGATAATCTCCCTATTTTAAGTTCCATAACTCTAATATATCTGTAAATTATATTTTACATATAAACAGTTCCAGGATTAGGGTGTGGACCTCAGTCCTACAGTTATTAGGAATTAGATTCTGACAACCTGAATGAGCTTAGAAGTGGATTCTACCCCAGAGGCCAGCCTAGCTAGCTAAAACAACTTGATTTTGGCCTTGTTAGAGCCTGAGCAGTAAAATCAGCTAAGCCCATCCAGATGTCTGACCTATAGAACTGTGAGATAAAAAAATTTTTTGTTTTAAGCTACTAAGTTCGTGGTAATTTGTTACGGCAGATATAGAAAACACAACCATCAAACATAATGTTTGCTGTAAGTTTCAGGAAGCTATCCTTGTTAGGATGAAAAATTCTTTATCTTGCTGTCTCTGACTTTCGTTTTATTTTTTAATCACTAAGAGATAAAGAATTTTATCATATGATTTTTTGGTAACTGTAAAAATAATAATAGAATTTTTCATCTTTGGAGGTCATTCTGCCTACTAAAACAGTAAAATAAAGAAAACAGTACTGAGCATCACCACTACTTTTCAGTGTCATAAGATTTAGTGCATTAATGAAAGAAAAATAAAGTGTTCAAATATTAGGAAAAGGTACACCTGTTATTATTTATAGATGATATGATTGTGTACCCCCCCAGAATATGTGACCCAAGACTCAAATAGACATAACAATGGGGCAGTAAGGTGAATAGATAGAAGACTATATACAGCCTATAAAACAAAAGAACTTTAAAAAGTTAAGAGTAAGGGAATAGAATGAGAGGAAACATTTATAACATAACAGAAAAAGGACTAATATTGAGAAAAGTATGCCAAAGTAATAAATAATAAAAGGACAGAAAACTAGAAAAAGGAATAGAGGCTAAAGATTGACAATGTCTAATGTTGGTGAGATACAGAAAAATATGCCGTCACACACTACTAGTAGAAGACTATGTACAACTTTTGGGAGGCAATTTGGCAATGTCTATTTTTTTTAATTTTTTAAAAAGATTTATTTATTTTAAGAGAACAAGAGAGCGTGGGCAGGGTGGGGAGGGGCTGAGGGAGAGGGAGAAAGAGTCTCAAGCAGATTCCATGCTGAGCTGGGAGCCCACCCCAGGGCTCCATCCCATGACCCTGAGATCATGACCTGAGCCAAAAGCAAGAGTCAGATGCTTAACCAACTATGCCACCCAGGTGCCCATGGCAATGTCTATTTTAATTAAAATGTACAATTTCCACTTCTGTATTTTTATCTTAAATATTCCTATGTGTGTTCAAAGAGTCATTAACCAGGTTGTACAGTACTATTTATAATATTGGGAAATTTGAAACTCATAGCAATAGAATAAGTAAATAAAAATGGTACAGCTAAACTATTGCATCTATGGATTAGAGAATGAAATCAGTCTATTTGTACAGTTCTAAAAAGGCCTCAGACACATTGAGGGAATGATAGATCTCATTTTTAAAGATGTATTCATTTATTTTAGAGAGAGAGCACGGTGGGAGGGGCAGAGAGAGGAAGAGAGAAACCCAAGCAGACTCCACACTGAGCATGGAGCCTGAGGCGGGGCTCAGTCTCACAACCCTGATCACACCCTGAGCCAAAACTAAGAGTCAGGTGTTTAACTAAGTGTGCCACCCAGGTGCCCCATCATTTTACTATTTTTTAAATGAAATTGCAAGTATGTACAGATACATAAGGAATAGTTCAGAAAAATACATGTAAATTGATGGGACAGTAATGATCTTGGGGTGAGGGGGGCGCATAGTGGGATGTGCAAATATGAGACCTTTTGCCATTTTTATTAGTTGTTTTACAACAGTACTTTATATTCATGTAATTTTTTAAGAAGATTTTATTTATGTATTTGAGAGAGGGAGACTGAACAGGAACAGGGGGAGTGGCAGAGGGAGAGGGAGAAGCAGTCTCCCTGCTGAGCAGGGATCCTGATCCTGGACCATGGGATCATGACCTGAGCCCAAGACAGAAGCTCAACCAACTGAACCACCCAGGCGCCCCATATTCATTTAATTTTTAGAAATTGAAGGTATGCATATCAAAACATGCAATCCAAGTAAGGTTTGTAGATTGTGCCAATGTCAATTTCCTGGGTTTTATATTGTAGTATAGTTATATAAGTTGTTGCCATGGAGGAAAGGGGTGGGGAGACTTTCTGTACTACTTTTGCAACTTTGTATGAGTATAATTGTATCAAGAGTTTTTTTAATTAACAAATAAGTGAAAAAAATTAAAAGTTAAAAAAGGAATTGTGGCCACTCGTCACTGAAGTCTATTTAATTACCTAAATACTCTAGTCACTAAAGCAAAAAAAGAAAAAAAAATAAGTCATCATTTTCCTGTTTTCTTTAATAGGTTCTAGATGATCTGGAATGTCATGGAGTTGCAGTGTCAGAACAAAGCCGGGCAGAGTTGGAACAGAAAATAGATGAAGCTAGAGAAAATATTCGTAAAGCAGAGGTGAGGTGACAGCTAACTGTGGCATTTTTCCCAGCTCCAGCAACATCACAGCTGTGATATATGCCTTTAGAATTCAATATCTATACACTGGTTAATTTGAAGATGACTCAGCATCTTCATCTGAGTCCAGAGTATTATTTCTGAGTACCTGCTTCATACAGGATAGTACACATAACAAAAGGACACTGAACCTGTTATCTGAAGAGTTTATAATCAAGAAAAATTAACAGAATTACACCACGATAAAGATATAATTTTAAAGTTTTCACAAGATACATAATAAATCAGTCAAATTAATGGCATAAAATTGATATATATATATATATGTTCAGAGCCTTGAAAAGTCCTCTCCGATAATGAAAGTTTCATTGGTCCAGGGGCATAAGCTGATCTTTAAAAAAAGAGAGACTTGGTTAAGCAGACAAGGCAAAAAATGTTACAACAGTGAATTTAATCTTTTGGTGAGGGGTCATGGAACCCTTTGTGTATGAAAGTGTGAAACCCTCTCTCCCACAAAAAAATACACATTTTTGTGTACAGTGTCCAGAAGTTCATGTGCCCGAGAGTAATATTCCCTGACCTCGTGGCAGGGAGGTTGAGAGGGAAAGAAAGACGTTATTTGCAAAGGAGGAAGACATAGGATACAATTTGGCAGTTGGATTTGTTTAGAGTGGAGGTTTTTTGTGAGGAAATGTGGTAGGAAGTTAATAATTGTGGTGAGGACCAGTTTATGGATGACCTGTGCACACTTGGGTATAGTTATCTATATATATATAGTTACTTATCCAGTGCAACATGTTGAAGGGATGTAAAAAAATAGACATTTTAGAAAGACTTAAGACTATCCAGACTTCAAGGAGAATATGTTCCTGTTAGGAAGGCATAAAGAGTGTCAAAGATAACTAAGACTGCAAAACATAAATGCTGAGGCGTGGTCCACACAAGTATACTTAATACTTAAAGAACCCAGAGGACACAGAGACTACTGTGGCAGAAGTTGTTAGGGCAGGTAACACAGAAAAGGTAGAATTTGAGATGGCTGTTGACAGATGAGTAGTATTTAATTAGAGAAAAAGGGATAGCACAAGATTTTTGCCATGCAATGTCAAGAGGCATAACTTGAACCAAAAGAAGAAGGTAGGAAGGAGGCAGATTTGAGCCTGGCATTGGGAAATGCTCTCTAACAGTCATTTGCCCCATGAGAGAGTAAGCTCCCTGGGACACAGTATAGCGCTGTAGGTGTACAAGATACTGCCAGGGACTCTCTACAAGGAGTTCTTGCAATTGGTTGAGGGTTAATCTAAACTAGTGATTTTCATATATCCCCTCAGGACTCTAGAGGTTTTGAGGAAGTGTTTCAGTGGTTGGTTGAGGGGGAGGGGGTGGTGAGAGGAGAGGCAGCTTAGGCAAACATAGGGAGTATGAGCGTGTTTTTGGCACAACCCCACAGAAGTGATCTGAACCAGAAAGGCTTGCCATCTGCCTGGTGTACAGAAACCCTAGTAAACCCAACTTGCCTTTGTTCCTGGCACATGATCCATGGCCTCCGTAGTGAAGAGGGCAGTGTGTACAATAAATAGCCATTTTCCACTCTGAATTCAGGGTCATGGCTAAACCACTACCCTAGTGTACCGGCCAAGTACTGTTGGCAGGCCCTTGCCTGGTCTGAGAGACACTGGCTTGTGTATGAGAGTTTCTCCTGCTGTTTGTTTCTCCATCCAGCAGGAGAGTGAAGCCAGTTTCAGAGCCTTGGTGGAACAGGACGTCTCAGAAGTTTTGTGAAGGGTGTGTTCTCTCTTGTATTTTCCATTTCCAGACTCCCTCCATGGTGTCACTGTCTGGTGTCATCGCTCCACCAAACCCCCCAGTAGTGGCAGCAGTAGGTATCAGTCCCACAAAGTCTGCATTTAGGCTGAATGACATGTTATTTCCATGAGTGTGCTAAAGAGCCCTGTGTTTGTTAGCTTAAAGCTAAAAATATGAAGTGAGATTCCCACAACAGAATGTCTCATTTCTCCTAATACCAGTATTTAAGTCTGTATTCTCAAAGATAATTTTCTTACCAAAAATACGGAATATGCTAAGAGCCATGATGCTGGATCCATTATCTCAGCTTTAGATATCTATGAAATATAGTTAGTCCTACTGCTATCTTAAAATGATCTCTCACTTGATTTTCACCTATCAGATATAAACAATAACCCAGCTAAAAATAGATGGCAAATATGTGAGTGTAGTATTGGGGTAGTACTTAACCAGATTGTCATAATGACATTTTTGGGTAAAGTTGACCACAAGAGCCTTCAGAAGAATTGACATTAGTAGTTTCTATAGATTCCTTTTTTTCTTTCCTTTGCCTTTATATCATTTGTACTGGATTTTCTCTTTCCATTCAATAGTTATTTACTTTATTATAAATACCTAATCAAAAGGAAAAAAGCTGGTTGAAGTTCCATTATCTCCTTCATGTTTGGTTTTTAACTCCTATCAACATGAATGTTTCTCTCCTTTGTTGGTTAATCTACTTTATCCAGTCTTTTCTGTATAGCGTTTCCATTCAGTGTTGCTGATTAGAATAAAAACCTTTGTGGTGGTCAATAATAAACTTTTTCCAAACATAAGAAATCGAAAATATAAATGGCCTGTGCTTTTCCAAAGAATAGGGTTTATACAGTGACTAATTAAGTATTGGCTGGTTAATGTGTCACAAATTCACTAAATGGTTAGTTTAACAAATACTTAATGAATACCTGCCATGTGCCAGATACTGATGGATATACTATACATACCGTGATGAACAAACTATTATTATATTATTATGATCTCTATGATTGTCACAAAATCTTTGTATTAGATGTGGTACTGTTTGCAGCCCCTGACAAATTTAAGAATTGAAACAGAGCAATAGCTGCTTAAGTTAAACTTTAGTAACAGTCTTCTTAACCTGGTATTTATGTATTTGAATTTTTTGACATGCCTTTTGTCACAAAGACACACACATTCTTCATCTGACTTACCATTCCTATTTTAAAAGTAGCTTACCAAGAGACCAAGAATTTTTAAATACCATCTTTTTGGAAGCTGTACATGACTTATATTGTTCCAGAACACAATTATTTTTTGCATGTTTAAATTTTCCCTTTTATTTGGGTTGAGGGCAGTTCTCTCTTTTTTGACAGTGAGAAGACACAAAGAGGAGAAAGTTAATGTAAGAAGTCAAAGATACCCAGAAATTTTTAGTAACTCACATTTGGTGTGAGGTCTGCAAAAGGAACTATAGACTATATGATTCTTTCTTTAAGATATTAACTATATTTTTTTAATCTGAATTGAGTGTACATTTGAAAGCCAAAGTACATTAACAAAGTGAATTAACAAAACCAAAAAAAATCAATTACTATCTATATAAACACATTTTCATAAATAACATTTTCTCTTAAATTATCATCCTGTAAGCCTCTGTTGTACATCAGGAATTCAAAATTATATCATCCTTGTACCTCAGTGACTCAGAAAATGGTAATTAATACCCCTTGCCAGCATGCGATAGGAGAAACCTAAAAACTTCACTTGCATAAAATGTAGGGAAATGCTAAGGATGAGCCTGCTGTAAAAACAGAATTTCCAGTCATGTTATATCCAGATTGATATTACCTCTGGGCCTGTTATGGCAGGTTTTCACTGTACTCATGTAACATGTCAGCAGACCTTTTGACTAATCACTTTCTTTCATTTTTATTGTGAAAAGTTTCAACCATATTTAAAAGATGAGTAAATATATATTTCTCAATATGCTAAATTCAACAATTAACATTTTACAATATTGACTTTGTATGTTTATTCCTATTCTGTAATATAGAAGTTAAAGCAGGAGGCCTGATTCGAATGAGTATTTTAAGCAAGAATACTTTATAGATAGATGCTATGTTTTTCATCACAGAATGTTTTTATCAAGTTTCCTCTCTATTAATGATGCTAGTAGTAGTCACTTAATTAGATGGTGCTGCCAGGTCTTTTTAAAGTTCCTTTTTTTGTACTTGCAGCTAGCAAGTACTAGTCACCTCCAATATTGGCAGCTGGGTATTTTTCTCTTTTACTTAAGTATCATTATGCTGTCATGGAATTTTAAAAATCAGCTCTATCAGGGTATAATATACAAACAATAAAATGTAACCATTTCAAGTGAACAGTTTGGGGAGCTTGGAGAAATGCATCTCCCTAAGTATTCACCACCACAATCAAGATACCAAATACTTCTGTCATCCCCCCAAAATTCTCTTGTGACCAGGCAGCAACTGGCCTGCTCGCTGTCACATAGGGTAGTTCAGCTTCAACAACATTGAATATTAGATTACTTGATATTGTCCTACACATGACATGCAAAGATTACCCCTCATATTTTTATCCAGCCTTACTTTTTGTCTTAAGTTCAGTTTGATGAGCTACTATGTATTCAGGTTCACTGATCTTTTCTTCTGTAGTGTGTAACCTACTGTTAAAGCCACCCTGTGAATTTTTATTTCAGATATTACAGTTTCAGCTCTATAAATTCTGTTTGGTTCTTTATATTCCCAGTTCACACCTATTTATCTTCATGTTTTCATTTAAATCCTTAAGTGTATTTATAATAATGACTTTAAGTCCTTGTCTGCTCGTTCCATCCTATCTGTGTTTTCTGTTTCTCTCTTCTGCTCGTTCCATCCTATCTGTGTTTTCTGTTTCTCTTTCTTATTGATTTTTTCCTTTAGTTATGGCTTGTGTTTTTCTGCTTTTCAAATACCTAGTAGAAATCTTGAGTGTTTGGTTATTGAGTGTCTGGATTCTCCTTTCTTCTTTGAAGACTGTTGAGTTTTGTTCCAACCGCCAATTCATTTGCAGATCAGTTTGATCCTTTGGAGGTTTGTTTTTAAGCTTTGTTTGGGTTGGTTTAGAATAGCCTTTCCAGTAGGGCAAATTTAGCCCTTTTACCAATGCATTTCCTGTCTGTTGTTTCTTGTTAC